AATAAAGAGGATGAGGATCCCATGTAACCATTACCCCAAGTACCGGTTTCACGGAAAAAAAAGAAAGTCGGTCAAAGCTTAAAACAGCTATGAATCTTAGTCGGCTAAGTTTTTTTTATAGAGGGTCGCCTGTCTCATTAACGGTACTTACAGTGGTTTCTTTTGCACTGACTTTTAATCGCAGTTGAGACAATTGTTAAATGAGAGTAAAGAGACAGTATTCGGCAATGTTTTCACTCCTGTGTCCCGCAAATTGTAGCGTAGCTGTCTTCTTCTATTGCTTTACATTTGCCACGCGGAGCAAGGCAAATTGCTTTATCATTTTAGACCAACCTCTTAACAGTTGAATCACAGAGTGTAGTTTACCTTAAGCACAAAAACGTGATTTTTTTGTTAAAAAACGCCAGCGGGACATTGTAGTTTTGTAACAAAGTTGTTTCTCGTAGACAACATGGGCAGGACATTGCGTTTGGCCATTCACATATTTGAAACAAATTTTATAAAGTTCAAAGTTAAAAAGATTTTTCAATCATCAATTTTTTTTATTTATTACCACACCAAATGACCAATGTATCAAGAGACACCCTCTCCGGAAAATGAAGAGATGGGTACTCAATTAGCCTCATTCCCTTATAAAGGTGTGTTGTGAGACATTGAATTACATTGCTGGCTGTAAATTTTAATTTAAAATAATAACTCCAAGATGAGCGGTTGTTTGAAGAATCGTTTATTGTACTTAAGAGTGCAAAACACACAGCTAATGAAACTCTAAAAAACTCAAAATTCTAAAACGCCGTTGTCAAGCTCCTATAATGATAATGAATATGGCCTAAAATGAAAAGATAGGTTAGTTTAATTTTAAACGGTGCTAAACGTTCACTAGATTGACAAGCTATTAAAATCTCAATGAACTATATCAATCTATCTATCCAGTTCTCAGAAGTCTACTGTATCTTCCTCACCCCCAATGTCACAGTTTGCTGGAACCCAGCCTATACATTATCAGAATACCCCTTGATAGGCTGGCAAAAACGTGCAAAATATTGGTTTGCAATGAAATTGGAAACGCAGGGTGGACTTTGTATCTGATAACATAACTGGCGTTAAACGGATGTCTTATTTCAAGGGGACGCTGTAACAACACACCACGCGCACCCGGAGGGTCTTCTCCCCTTCCACCTTGCCAGGGTACCTTGTAATTGTCACATCGACTTAAGATCTTTCCCTCTGCTCCCCGTATGTTTCAACGGGTTCACCAAAAATGGTCTCCGGTCATCATTTTTTCTCTTAATGATATCCAAGCTTTGCCTGGCCACTACCTTAGATGACCAGTTGAGTGACCGTTTCATTAATTTTTCTGCAGGAAAAAGGTTCACCATGTTTGTATTAAAATCAACGTGTTTTGTTTTGGTTCTTAGGGACCATTTTCAATGACACTATCGGTCTACGTAGATCCATCCAACTCCGTGGTGATCGACTCTCGTTGAATGCAAGCAGATTAGCGGGTTTGCAAGACTCTTCTCGAAGTTGAGTAGAATACAGAAAAGAGGGTGATTATGCGTGTATGTTAGAAACAAAAGGAGGCGTGTTAGTCTCTTAAACTGATTGCATTCAGCGAGAGTCCCCACGGAGTTGGATCGATCTACGTAGACCGATAATTTCATCGGGAATGATCCCTGAGTTGCACTCTTTCTGACATTTGTATTCTACATGAACAGCAAAGTAAACCTCTTCCGTAAATGCGAATTGCTTCTTTTTTTCCTTTCTTGTAAAGCAAATAATATAAGAAATGGGAAAATGAATGAAAGGTGTGCACTTATGCTCTCCAACTGAGTAAAGCGTGTCTGTATATTACAGGTATGTGTCTGTGAGTGTGTTGCCATGGATAGAAAAGCTGTTTTCACATTCAGGATACAGGCATTAAAAACTATCAAATTCAAGAACCTCCCTCTAAAAAATGAACAAAAACTCGACATGCTTTCAGCTGCACTGTACACACAGGTTGCACGTTCATCTACTGTTGACCTCGAGGGTGAAAATTTAAAATTTCCTTCACCAAAATGGCTTCAGATGTGTGATAGAAATCCTGAAAAAACGGCAACCCTTGCTTGTCCAAAGTTTTTATTGTATATCTCTAATGGTAAGCAATAGGTGGGGAAATTTTTAACAGTTTTTAGATTGAGAGAACTTAGTACAATCAAAATACCCCTCGGCAAAAAAGGTTTGCTTTCACACGTAGAGTACTCTTAGCTAATAAAGGGGCTATTGGCTCGAAAGACTTTAAGGCAAATGTCTGTCTATAGTTTTGTGCCATTAAAGAGTCGGTATTTCAACGTTGGAAAGCCAGATATTTCTGCATTAAGGCAATAAAATGTAGCCACTTTTAGTTATTTTTTTATTTCCATTATCTTATACAGGACGACTCGTTCAATTCTTTTCTTCTACTTTAGATTAGTGCCATTATTCTAGTAGTTTAAAATGTGGTTCATTTAATCGACATTGAATTTTGCAATGTGGGTAAAATGGCACGCCCCAACCCACCCACTCACGGTTATTAATGGCAGTTTTGGCATCTGTTACATAAATGGTCAATAAACAACTAGGAGATGAAAATTAAGTTGGTCAGAAGAAGTATGTGTACAAGTTATGATATTAGAAATATTCCTTACTGCGTATAGCATAGCTTTATTGGTACCAAAGCTTAGTCCGGTGTACACAGTGAGATTTCGGCTCATCCACATCACCCGGGAAGCGTGAGCCCTTAGGTCAGCGTGTGCGCAAATAAGAATACAATGGTTAGAACACAATTCTGCTCTCTCTCTCTCTCTCTCTCTCTCTCTCTCTCTTTCTTAAGGTCTGAAATTTGACAATGATTCCCATTCTACCCCCCACTTGGGGAATGTTCATCAAAAAGTAGGGCAGAGATGGAATCTTCCGCCAGCGCTCGGTCAGTAGCTCATCTTGCAGCTCCACCTAGGAAATACAATTGAACTAGTGATTCAACAGCAAAATATCCTCGAGGTTGAAAGTAGCTTTTCTTTAAAAGCACATCTACAACCATTTTTTCTTAATCCCAGCGTCAGGAGATGATACTAATGCTCTGCTTAAATAAACTTGTAGACATCAGCACACGGATAGCGTCCCATTAACGGCGTCTGACCCACAACTTATCACCAATTAAGTGTGTTTTTTCTCTACCGCAGCGTTCTTGCTTTACACGTGTCTTGACTTTGAAAAGAGCAGCAGAAAGATAGTAGACTTTATTGCTGTAAGATGATTTTAACTGCTTTAAGAAGTTGATCGTTCTCTGGACGTACTTACAGATACGAATTTAAGAAAAAATGAGGTCAAAGAGCAGATGCCAGTGAAACTGTTGATATTTATATGTATTAAAGTGTAGATGTAAGTGTATGTGAGCGCGCGTGTGTGTGCGTGCTTGTGTGTGAAAACATGCTATGCTATCATATCTGAATGAAACACTGAAATGTGGAAGCATTTGTCTCGCGCTTTGAAGATATGCCAAAGATAAGACGAAGATAAAAAGAAGAAGAATGTAACTAGAAATCAATTTTTATTAAGAATACTTAAAATAAGCGCATATTAGCAAGGACTATGTTAAAGCTATAAAGCTAATAGATCACAAAAAAGCAATCATAAAAAATGTGAATTGAAATCAAATTTTAAAACCACACTATAATTAGATAAACCTCCTTAAAAATGCTCAGTAACATTGAAAGTTTATAGTCTCGTGTTGCCTGTTAAAACTGCAAACAGGGTATGAGATGGAATCAGTTTTGGGCGTTGGTAATGATACATCAGAACAACAACAAGGTTATGTCATTATGTCCTAATAAACTTCAATCTAGTTGTGGTTATTTTCAATTGTTTAGTCATCTTTAACGTGCAGATCTGTTTGGACCGAGTGTTGGGCGTGTCTGTTGACTACATGGTGCCTGCCACTGCTGTTTCTTCTGGAATGATGAGAAAGCAGAGGAGGTTGTAAGGTTGACGTGCCTCTATTTATTATTCTCTTCCTCATACACACAAATATACGCAATGTCCCTCACTTTTCATCACCTTCTCTCTCCTTTGCAAGGGCTGGAATTCAATATCCTAGCGTTGAAATCGGTCACTGCTTGACAGCAAAAGAAGGCGGGTCAATTGTAACAATCAAATCTCAAAAGTAATTTTTTGTAAACAAATTTACAGATGTCATGTTTTAACTGCTCAGTTAGTTTGATTTATCATGAAGCAAAGCACGCCCTTCAAATAACATTTAGAATGAAATTGCTCTCAATTGTTCCGTAGTTGCGTTTTGAGGCTTGTTCACCTAAGGTTTACTTCAATGAAATGAGCCCGTGTTTAGTGGTGCTGATTACAACCAACTCTTTGAACTCCTATTTTCAGGCTAGGAAACTATTCGAAACTGATTTCAACAAGTCAATCAAGGTCAATGGCAGCTCACTGAAATTATCATTTGTTTACCCGACACTGTTATTTAGATCTTCTCAGATTCGGTCTGAAGGGTTCCGAGAGTGAGCGCACCTGTTCCACGTGAGGCGGGTCTGTCTCCTCCCAAGGGGATTCGCCTCCTTACTCATCCGCTTGGGCCTGGGTCGAGTTTAGAAGAAAAACACCTCCAACTGCACGGGAGAGCGCGAACGCAGCGATAAAGTAATTCCATTGCTGCCCAATAAACCGCCCGAAACGCCCATACTCAGCGGGGGTCTACGGTGTAACCAAAGAGGACCTGACCGGGCATACGTAATATTGAGCACTGATTACCCAGCTGCGGGGCACTTACTGACCAAATGAGTTTTTCGAAGAGTTTTGTGAAGATGACTTCTTTCAAGCGATTGTCGCGTAATCGGGAAGCGATATCGGTCGAAAATAAGATTACTGTTAATTTGGTGTGAATGATATTGGAATTATTCCTCTTGTCCTCTCGTGGGTATATAAGATCGCTCATCGTGTTACCCGTCACAAACTTTAGCCAAGCCGGTTGGGATAAAAAGGACGCGCAAATATTCTCTTGGAGCGTTAAGGTTAGTAGGTAAATTCCTTTGTTTTTGTATCAATGTTTGTAATGGTAGGTGTCGTCATGAGGCCGGCGAATTATTGCAAAATCGCACAAAAAGTAAAACAATATTTTGTAATGTCAAAGTTATAGTTTGAATTGAAAAGTGGATAATTTGCTGTTGACAAGGGACGAGGCCCAGCATCAAAGTAAAGCAATTTTATTATTGATGCCATTTCGCGATTTTAATAAGCTATTTTTAGAACCTTTATATTTCATAACTGAAAATTAAGCACTTTGAGACCAAGTTCGGGGAATAATAACAGCAATTGTCAGGCAAGAATAATTTTATAAAAAGATAATCAAGATTCGAAAACTAATTATGATTTTGGACTTTGGAGTTATGTCCAGGTCAAAGTTGACTTCCAGCATCAATGTAACAGTATCGCAGGTGTGATCAAATTCAGTTTTTCTTGAGGACTCTGCTCCAGTGATGATCCCCCATTATAACCTAACAACATTTGCATTTGGAAAAACATTCTGATACCTACCTCATATGAGAAAATCACAATTATATTGAATTTGAGACTACCAAGAATTATTTTCAAGCAAACTTGTTCATATGAATTCTCAAAGCGTAAATGCCATATTAAAACAGCTAAATATTTCTCAAGTTTCGCTCACTGCGAATAGATGTTGCATGAATCGTTCTACTAAGATCACGTATATCAATCTGCTTTGCTTTACTTTACTGCCATATGCGTATTACTACTTGCAGAAAACGTCTCTTTTTTCGTCTAGTTTTTTAACTGTTTGTATGGTAGAATTATTAAAACCAGTAGTAGGCAGGTTATAAAAATACCGCAAACGGCATTCAGATGTTTCCTTCGACGGTGTTAATACCAAAATGTCAGTTTCTCTTTTTAAATAAAATCTTTGATTTACCTTTTAGTTTTTAACACTAAGTGCGTTAACTTTTCTGTGGGAAACATCAGCACTAATTAGATAAGTACATGCATCACATTTTACAAAGTACACATTTTTATCAATGGTTAACATGCATGCAATATATATCCGAAAATCTGTGGAGTGATTCTAAGAAGACGTTTGTAACTGATAAAGCAATATCATAAATATTACCTAAGTATCCAGTCAGAAGCACCAATAATGGTATAATCGGTAGAGACATGTTATTTGTTCAGGTTAGACGATTTTTCCATTTGCCTTTAGCCGATGGCCTATTTAGAATACGAAAAGCAAAATCATGGTTGGTCAAAGTTGCAAAGTGACTAAAACAAAATACTTGAGGTTTGGGTGTAACAGACATTTTGTTAATACCAACCCCATAAAAAAATTAAGTTTTAAATCAACTTCGAGATTATTTGGGGCGTGGCAGTAACAAAGAAAGCACAGCCAGGAAACAATACGTGACCATCATGCCGACTAATATTAACGTGCTTTACTGAGGTGTGATTAAAAACTTCTTCTGTTCTAACAGGTATAAGAGTTCATGATAACACTGTTTTACTTCTAACTTGTAACAGATGCAGGATATCTATGTTTGATTTCCAAATCATCGCAACGTTAAGAATCAGAAGAATCTCTCAGTTCGCGTGGCTGTGATCACCGTCTTTGACTTATAGATAATTCACGAGTCTAGGGTGTGATTATTCGCAGAGGTCTTTGATAGAATTACGTTTTACAGCTGCGCAGTGCAAAGTTTTATGTTCTGAAACTAGTAGCGGCAGTGAGGTAGTAATTTACGACCCGATGCCAAAGGAATGTTCTTGTAGTACCTTCACACAACTTGGAATTTCTACCCATTATGTCTCGCGACAGGGGACTCCGACTATAGCCCATACTGTTCGATCGCCTGGATAAATAGAAACAGGGCAATGTAGATTTTTTCAAATATCCCTTTTATTTAAAACAAACTTGAAAATGCCTCAAATCTACAAAGTGATATATAGTTTGGAAATTGAAACAACAATTAAGTATCTCAGCAAAGGATGTTACAGCATTTTTCAAAATAAGAATCTCCAGGACTGAGTGTGATACGGTTTTCTTACTCCCCGGTGGCCGAGGGTCTTACATCACTCTGCTTTCCCTTCTTATTAACGTTATACAAACCATTCCCAGATTTCTTTGTGGTGAAGGAACATATTCTCACGCGATGTGTACAAGTATATAACATTTGGACATTTTATAGCATTAACAAATTTTGACGACTGTAACGAGCCTTGACCAGGAGAATCCTAATTACTGATGAATTATTCAATGAAACTTCCTCAAAGATTAGAAACTTTGTAACTGAATATGGAATATGGATGTCAAAACCTAAAATCATGGAAGTTTAAAGGATTTTTAAAAATTGCGTGTTTACAAAATGTGCCAATGAAATTTAACGTTTAGATTATTATTTTTTTATTCTAAACAGTGAAAACAAAATGGCCAAGGGAATGCTGAGTTGGGGCTGTCTTGTAGTTCTCCTCCTGGCGGTGGAAAGACTTGATGCTCAAAGCAGTAAAGAAGAGGGCGTCACGATACGCTGGCTGAAATGCTTCTGTCCAAAGTACGCCCCCTACTTCTCCGTGTGCCCATCTGAGTACCACTGTAAAGGGTAAGTATTTTTAAATTGTGTTTATGAATAGTTTTTGTAATAGCAAAAGCAACGAAAATAGTCCCTTACCTTTCCTGGCGCTAAGTATATGAGGGATGTATCTTGTAAATTGATTACTTTTTTGGATAGTTAACATGTTACAAGGTAAGGCATACATGTACATTTGTTAAAATGTTTGACTGGTTTCATTCAAAACACAGTTTAAAATCATAGTCATTACCACTCCAAAATAATGGTTTTAACTTTCTATTAGAAAACATTATTATTCTAACGTTGTCCCTAAAACAACTGCTTGAATAACTTGCCAGTAAGGATTGTTGCTTTATGTACTATTCTTTTTATCAATCGTGATACCCAAGAAACACTTGTGAAATATATATTGAAAAATCCTCAATTTTACAGCTTTTTGTGCCATTCACGCCCAAACAACTAAGTGAATTTTTGGCTTTACTTTACGTTTGCTTATTAGTTTTAACATTCGTAAAGGTCTACTGCTCGGAAAACATTTCTACAAAAATATTAAAGGTCGTTACACACACACATACACACACACACACACACACACACATATTCTAGGGCCTTTATTCCCATTCTATCATATGATATATTTCCCTTGCAGTATCCAGTGTGACTGCACAACCTGTGGATGTGGCCTCTCCAAGCGCATCGTGGCCCCATGGCCAAGCCGCCAGAACCAGTTCTACAAGGCCCCCCACAACGACGTCTTCTCCATGGCTTACAGCAACGAACGTCGCTATCCTCCCTTCTCTCCCAACATGGCCCCCGCCCCCAACTACCAGACCCCAGGGGCCATTAATCCTCCCACCTACTACAAGTACCTGCTGTATCTCCATAGATACTTCGGTACTTACAATACCAAGGTGGCCAGACAGCTGAGGAGGAGAAGAGCGGCTGATGACGTCATGCAGCGTTTGGCGGGAAAACAGTGAATGATGGTGGCGGTAATATCACAGGCGTCTGCTGAGGAGTTAGATAATAGGTTATTTAGATGTATGTGTTAACCGGTTGTTGTTCGTATTGTCGTGTGTTTGATAATTTTACTCAAATCTTTAATTGCGATATTTTTACAGAATATCATTTTTATCAAGTTCATGAAACGTATGGTTATTTTTTTGTAAAATATCTACCAAGAAGCCGGGAAAAATAGGAAAAATGTACGAATTATTCATATGAATCTTATGCTCATATCTGAAAGTTATGACTTAAAAGACTCAAAAGGCAACATGTAATTACAAACCTGATATTCAGGATGCAGGGGCGGATTCAGAGATATTTTCTGACAGTCTTCCAAATTATCTTTGTTGATCCATTCTTCATTTTTGACCGTCTTCCGACGTAAAAATTAGACAACTTTCAATGTAAACTTGAAAATCTGACCGTCTTCCGGAAGACCCAGAAGACGGCCTGAATCCGCTCCTGAAGATGGGAGATTTAACTGTCCCTCTCAAATCAATTCGACAATTCACAATGCTGAATGTATCCACTGCTGCAGTGAAAACGCCGTTTAAAAGATACCATACGGGGGCCTGTCTCACAAACACTTTCGCCCGAAAAACATTTTAGACTACATTGCGTCTACTTTGGCTCAACATAATTCAGTAGTAGTCTAATCTAATAAGATATCATACCTGTTCTAAAACAAGAAAAGCGGTTGCTTGCGTTTTAGACCAATACGTATTTAATATGTTTAGACAACTATGGTAATCTAGAAATGTAATTGACTAAATACTGAAATGTTTAGACCGGTGTTTGGGCTGAGGTTGTTTATGAAACCTACCTGGGGTGATGCCACCGTGCGTTAATTTGTAGAGCTACACGATGCTTTGAGCGGCAATGCAACCCTCAATCGGTGAATCATGGTGCGTGTTTTATTATGAAAAAAATATTAAGCATTGCAATTTTATTTCTAACTTATTGAATCATAGAAGTCAAGTTTACCAGAATTGCATTTATGGGTCAGTGACAGGATGTTGGACTAGGAGTTAAAAAATTATTGGAAAGACGTTCCAGATTTTGATATTATAAGTCACAACTCTGCATGCCATAGAGGGTCAAATATATTGGTATCACCTATGATTTAATACCAATCTTCTCTTTGGCATATGCTAAGTATGACGTGTTTCAGTATTATGATGTTCAGTTCCATACTAAGTGAGTTTAGCACAGTTTATGGCAATGGGTCTAAAGGCAGTAACTGTTACTTGATGGACGCACTCACAGCAGAGGATAAGAGCTAGACAGAGACGCTAATTGACTCCACTGGACCACACGCCATACAACCGGAAGTACAAGGTTTGCTGTGTGTGTAGATTTTTAAGACCGATAAAAGGACGTGTTCCAAAGATTACTATTGGAATGTATATGATGGATTCTGTTATATGTGTAGACGGCAACTTCCTTAAGTTCAGGTAGACCTCAATGTATAGCGGTAGCGAATGATCAATAAAAGAAACGTTTTATAAATATTTTCACGCGGTTTCATTTAGTTTCGCCAGACACGCTTACTTTCTCAAATGTCAGCAGACAATTGGATCAGCCTCAAGAAGCAAGTCGCATGTTCCCTCTTAAACAACTCTGAACGCCGACCTGCCGAGCATACTCTTAGTCAATTCTTTGGTTGACTAAGTACGGCTCACTTCATCGACATTTTTCCATTAAAAATGATTAATAATAATAATAATAATAATACAAAGTGATTATCCAGTGCGGTGGACAATTTGAGAGCCAAACGCATGCTATATTGCTCTATTTGTTCTGTCGTCTTAGACTCATAATACCTTTTCCTATCAACATTGCTTTTTGGAATGACGGTTTTGACAACAAACCTGATGCGACCATTGCTGTCAAAATTTCTGGAACGAATTATGATTGTGAAGGAATTAAATCAATTAATAGCTTTACCGCTAGATATTATGTAGTGTCTGTGGCATATAATTATGACGAGCGGTATTTTAATTTACTTTTTGTATTCAGGTACCTCATAAATTATTTTATCTAAAAGTTACAGTCTTCGTTATTGATAGTGAAAATGATATTTATCAAGTTCCACTGGACCATTCTCTATGCACGATGAAATAAGAGGTAAATAGGTCATTAATTTAAGAAAAATGTCCTCTCTGATATTTTCTTAGTGTAGGGCTAACAAGCAAATATCAAACCAGCTGATCGGTCGGAAGTAAACGTGTTACTCATTTCCTTTAGAAGCTCATTCGTGACCTGGGTTGTTTTCGGCAACCCTCAAACACTTTGAATGAATCAACACAGCGCCTGCGGTTGTTTTTTGCAATATTCTTGTTAAAGACAACGCTCTTTCGTAATCTTAACACAGTTATCTTCCTTGGCTCGTGTAATGGCATTTATTTCAGTACTGTATCGACTGCCCAATGTTAAACGGGCAATAGACCTATCATTTATTGCTCATGTTGTGTCACATGTTTTGTGTTTATCAAACTTAACCAACTAGAAGTGAATTTTGTAAAAGTGGCAGTATTTTGGCAAACATGACAGTTAGCTTGAAACGTGTTGTTGTTGTTGTACATGTAGGTCACCAAATAAAAGATACTGGCGGGGCCAGCGTGACGAGAAGAGGTAAAAGCAAATGGTTAAGCTTTCCCCTTCAGTTATTTATTTATTTATTTATTTATTTATTTATTTATTTGCAAAAAAGGGGCAATTTGGATTTGGGTTATTTTTGGAACTACAGAACATATCATCTCCACTTATATACAAAGGACGGTAAATAAGTCCGCCATTTTGTTTTGGACAGCAAAACAACACTAACATAAAAAAATGAATGTGTAAAACCAGGGACTAAGGCTGAGAAAACTTTTTTGGGAGGGAGGGGCAGCTGATGTTAAAGGCATACAATAGATGCAAACGGTATTAATACCATCCTTGATATTAACTGGACGCTGGCCCGAGGGGAAAAAGACTGATTGGTAAAAAGGGAGAGCTGGTAGAAAGATGCAAAACAATTTTTTTTTCAAAATAAGAGGGAAGTGCACAACACTGATAACTGGACAGGTACTGGTTGTAGACCACTTGAACAAGATTGGCCTTAACATTTAGACCATATATTTTACATTATATATATATATATATATATATATATAGTACTTCTGATTTACATTGAGTCACAAAAAGACTAAAATTTGGCTCTAAAAGATTAAACCAGGACTATCCCTTTCGTTAAACCGGCTTCTGATTAATCTAGGGTGAAATAAGACTAAGCCTCTTGTCTAAAACTAAAAGTGAACGCTCAGCCGCGGGTTAGGACTACTTTGTAAAACAGGCTACGGAGCTGTCAAAGTATCAAATGACTGGAACGCGCTAAGGTGCCTCAAGGTGTTGCGTTTATTTGCCACGCTCCTGTAGCTGGCACATCGCCAGAACTACGGCGGCAGCTTTGAAGGAGCAATAATTGTGGTTTTTGCTGCGTTTCTGACTTCACATTTCTTTATAAAAGACAGTCTTATATTTTATTGAGTTAATAAAAATTCACCACCTGTTTTAAAATCTAAGTAAAAAAGTACATGCCATGCTGTGCCCGTTCATTCGGCTTAAACCAATTTTCAAAAATGAAAACGAAAAGAAGAAACCGCCTTTTTTGTAGGAAATGCCCTGAATAAAAAATCTAAGACCTAAAGGCGATGTCTGAAGTTGAGAAAATTGAAGTGGTAGGATCATTTTTTTCATTTAAAAGGCCTCCTTTGAAATCGCTGGCTACCGGCCTCATCATGGTTGCTTGCATGGTGACGTCATCTCAACCGATACTTGGATAAGTAGAAGCGCTGTCCAAGCTAGTCTCTCTCTCTCTCTCTCTCTCTCTCTCTCTCTCTCTCTGCCTTGCCTGGAACTGTGCCAGCCACATAGTAGCACGTATGGCACCACTTCACAACCTGCCGAGACACCGTAATGTTAACACGTGTTAAGACGACCACAAACTAGCTCCATTACCTTAACGTCTACGTAGAAAAATCCACTCTACCCTAAACTGAAGAGAATCGGGATACCGTCTAAATTGCGCTCGCGAATATTTAAAAGTGCAAACGTGAAAAGTCAAATTGCAGACTTTTTTATCTCGCCAGTTTGCTATTTTAAAAGTATTTTATTTTACCGACCTTGAAAAATTGTTTAATCACTTGTTAACTTCGCCGAAGCTTGGGTCGTTCACGCACGAATGAGGACTATTTGATTATGTATTTATACATAGTTTTGTGAATGGCTTAAGGCATGTGAAGGAACGAAAGAGGTCTCAAATACATGTACAATGTCAGCCTGAATTTAAGTTGTTTTATTTTTACTTCAGTAGAGAGAAGAAAGCGCACTTGTACGAAAATAATTAAACTGAGTTATATAATATAACCATTATATTTATTGACTGTTCGATATCTGTTTTCAAATTCTTATATAACTTTGAGAGGACAGAAATATGTAAATTGTCAGTTCTCGCCTTGAAACTTTTTGTATAATATCGTATCCCTGTTTTATAAGTAATCCTGATGCAGAGTTGCTTATAAGATGTGTTTCAGTCATTGAAATAAACAGGACTAAACATCCTCATCTGAACTAAAAAAAAAAACGTTCAAACCTTAAGTCATGTCAATGCATAATTATTCAAAATAGAGCCGCCGTAGGTTGAGGACCACGCACATGTACTGTTTCAAACCTTTAAACATTTGAGAATACTTCCCACCATCAAATGCAAACACTTGATTATAATCCAGAATACTTACTTTGATAAACATTGCATACGATTTTTAGGGTGGTGATGACGTCATACTATGACGTCAGACCATAATCAACCCAAGGGCGTCGGTTGTGTTGGAAGACCGATTTTGCGGTTTGCCGAGAAGTGGTGTAGTGTTTCAGTTGAGAAAGATAACGCACCGCAATCTCTGCTGTCACCTCAACCTGGGCGTGCGGTGCAAACTTTCGGGGCCTACGGCTATCACAACCAGATTTAACCAAGCTACACAACCAACTCGTGCCAGCTACGAAAAAGAATCCTATCTGGGATTTTCGGGGTCAAATCGAGGAGATCCTACCCCAGTGCTTTTACTACGGAAATGATGTCACATGCCCTCGATCAAAAGCGTGCTGTCTTTCAGAAAGCACCAGTTACTGCTGTTGCAACGAACAATTAGATACCATTTGTTCACGTCAGTTTAAAAAAAACTACCCCAGCTTCTAGCTAACATATAAACCGAATTGATACTTAAATTTGGGTGGGCTGAGGTCAACACAATTAAATGTGACAGAGCAAAGTTTGGACAGGTAATTCATTTATATCAGACAAGACCATAATGAGTGTGATAGCAGTAAGGCGAACGGTGAACGTTACTTTTTGTGTAGAATTACAGCGTTTGTTTGCTTACGTCCTGTCAATGACTCGTAGGTAGAGGTTTTTTCCCGGGGTAGTTAGAAGTGGATAAGGTTTTATTTTTAAAAGAGTCCGTCACAAAAAAAGCCATTACTGTCAGCTCCAATGGGAACCCCACCGGACGACGGCAATGAAATAACTAATGTGATTACGTGGTAGAGATGCCAGGAATGTTGGTAATGAGAATAAGTGTTTGGTTGGTTACATGGCTCTCTGTTCTTTCTCTGCTCTCTCTCTCTCTCTCTCTCTCTCTCAGTCAGACGGACACACACTTTCCTCGCTCTCTCGCTCTTTCTTTCTCTCTCTCTCGCAATCCCTGTAGACTCGTCACAGTTTTAAGACCCACCTTTGTTTTAAGTCAGACGTTTGGTACCAAAAACAGAATTCTTGAACTATTTAGCTATCAGACGAGTTCAAAGTACAACTGAGTTCTTAATTAAACACATCATTGCATACTTCACCTCTATCATGAGCGATTCCGTTTCGTAATTTGCCCTGAATTAGTAAACCTACACCAACTGTAGCCACAGATTGGCACGCTGACTTGGGCAGCTGTCGAAAACAACTGCTTTCTCTTCGGAATGACTTAATCACTGTGTAATTACCCAACGCTACTGGTTAACTTCTCGTAGTAACCAGAGCGTTTTTTTCCTTCTGCTGACGAAGCTGCTTTAAGAAAGGTTAAGGCATTTGCCACTGGTAATTTACCCGACGCTGGGTTTACGAGATATGATAGTATGAAAGCTATTTTGATACACGTTTTTACACATTTTTAAAAAGTGAATTGTTGATAAAGGTACAGAGGTTAAGATTTAGATAAATGACAATGACAGAGGGAGCGCAGCGCTTAACGAATAACAACCATGAATAATATTCAGTAGATATGTCATCTAGTGGTATTAAAATAAACAGATATAATATAAAGAATGAGAACAATTTAAGACCAGCTGAAGTCTATGAGAGAGAGAGAGAGAGAGAGAGAGAGAGAGAGAGAGAGAACATGGTCCACTAGACCAAATTATGAGACCAGTAATAGATTTCTAAAACTTTGCTTAGGAATAATAATGGGCATTTCGTTTTGTTCATTTTTTTCTATTACGCGCTTTCCGTTCAATATAACACTTGCGGCTGGTTTCTTATTTCCATGTTATGAAGATGCATCCATTCTTTTATATAAATATTATAAATTAAGATTCCAATTGGCTCCTTAGCGTGTAAAAGCATATTTTTCTTGAATAAGAGTACGCTTTACCACTCTTTCACGCCCAGTATTTTTCTGTAAGAGATAAGGTAGAGAAAATGCACTTTATACAGTGATTATAAAAAATAGTTTGTGAAATTCACTTTTCGAGCACCACCCCACCCCTTTGGCTATTCCTTACTCCATTAATCAACCTGGGAGGAGCTTTGACTCAGAAAAAGAAACTTTTATACTTAAACAAATCGACAAAAACCCAACGCCGTCTAGTTACCTCGTTTATTTGATAACCAAACTAGTGACACGTATCCCCCGTTGAAAAATGGTTTAATTCGAGTCTGCTACATTTGCGTAGGGTCGAGAGACCGTTGTTTTAAGTCACGTGTGAATATTTTGAGATGCAATGTATCGATGGCACCGGAGCGTATAAAAGGAAATATCACGTAACATTTCTTGCTGATGAAGTGTGGTCGACGGTTTGGAGGAACTTAGAGCTTACGGGGACTTTTGCGACAAGCTGCAATTATTGACCAAGAGGAACCTCTTTTCAATAAGGTACTGTGATTTTTTTCTTCTTGGATATCAAGATTAATCTTTATACCGACTGATTACTAGTCTGAAAATGCGGAAAAATTATGAAAGAAGTGGTAAGTTCGATTGTCTGAAGCAAGATGCCAAATTTTCAGTGTAACATTGATTAAAATTTACGTAAGGGTTAAATGCAAATAAACGGGCTGTCCAAATTGTTATGTTGTAAAGTTAATGACTTACGCTTTCATTAATAGCAGGTAATAATTAAAGAGGAATCATATAAGTTAAAGGATAGGGAGTTATTGAGTGTAAATTAAATTTCATTAAGAGGCAACAAGTGCGGAAACTGTTTAGCTGTTAGGAAAAGATGGAAAAGATCAAAAGCAGATATACTTTTATTTGATTGGTTTATTTCACAATAGGATTGCAATTATCTATCACGTGTATGCAAAATGAGAATTGGAAAATTTCTGACAATCATGGAAAGAAAACAATTAAACGCGTGATAAGTACGCAGAAATAAAGTATAAATACTTGCGAATTTGTAAGAAAAGTGAGTTGGTGAATAAATGTTTGAAGGCCCCAGAAGGTCGTTATCGTCCCTTTTATATTTTCTGTGGCACAAATAATTTTAAGAGACTTCGTAACACTGATTAAATCACTACACAAAGACTCTCTAAGCATTTTTACACTTTAAAGCATTGTATTAAATAAGCGTATTCCAATATCTAAAATTGTTGAGTATGATACAAATTTAAACATAACACGGTAAAATAAGTTGTTTTTTCTTTGTCGCTCGTGAGACGAAGCTAGAGAAAAGTGTAGGAAAGGTCTTGTGTAAGTATGACCTTTTTGCTTTGAAACGTCCTGCCTCATAGGTAAAAACACGTCAAGTTTCTTTGGATAACAATTTTTTACCAATAACATCACAATAGTTGTTTTCGGACTGTGATAGTGCTGCAAAGAAGAAAATCTGATGTGTGCAAATTTCATTTTGTTCTCAAAAATGTGAAGGATAACGTCGTTGTGCCGTGAAAAAAATTATTGTAAGCCTATAACAAGTGTTTTGGGTTTTTAACGCATTTTAGTTTTTGTGACCTACGTTTAATGGTCACGTGATCGATTTTTTAAACATATTTTCTGAAAAAACTCCCAAATATTTTTCATGAAAGCAAGATGCCGACTATTAAGTAAAACAAAACCACTCTTTTCCTATCAGAGGAGGAAAGGGGGGATTTGCAATAAACTAGTAAGTTGCAAAGGAGATCTTTAATTGCCACTTTTGGTGTTTATATTTTGGTTAAAGTGTTTTCGTTTTCACGTAAGCAAACCACGAGGCAAATTACGCGAGAGCGGTGCAGACATAAAGATCGTAAAACTTAATTTTCTTTGTCCTTAAATCAGGTAAAATTAGATATCTTTTTAGAAAAGTTTATAGGTTGGCTGCGACAGAGAACACATGACAGGTTATTTTCACATTGCTAGCAAACGNAGCCTCTTTTCAATAAGGTACTGTGATTTTTTTCTTCTTGGATATCAAGATTAATCTTTATACCGACTGATTACTAGTCTGAAAATGCGGAAAAATTATGAAAGAAGTGGTAAGTTCGATTGTCTGAAGCAAGATGCCAAATTTTCAGTGTAACATTGATTAAAATTTACGTAAGGGTTAAATGCAAATAAACGGGCTGTCCAAATTGTTATGTTGTAAAGTTAATGACTTACGCTTTCATTAATAGCAGGTAATAATTAAAGAGGAATCATATAAGTTAAAGGATAGGGAGTTATTGAGTGTAAATTAAATTTCATTAAGAGGCAACAAGTGCGGAAACTGTTTAGCTGTTAGGAAAAGATGGAAAAGATCAAAAGCAGATATACTTTTATTTGATTGGTTTATTTCACAATAGGATTGCAATTATCTATCACGTGTATGCAAAATGAGAATTGGAAAATTTCTGACAATCATGGAAAGAAAACAATTAAACGCGTGATAAGTACGCAGAAATAAAGTATAAATACTTGCGAATTTGTAAGAAAAGTGAGTTGGTGAATAAATGTTTGAAGGCCCCAGAAGGTCGTTATCGTCCCTTTTATATTTTCTGTGGCACAAATAATTTTAAGAGACTTCGTAACACTGATTAAATCACTACACAAAGACTCTCTAAGCATTTTTACACTTTAAAGCATTGTATTAAATAAGCGTATTCCAATATCTAAAATTGTTGAGTATGATACAAATTTAAACATAACACGGTAAAATAAGTTGTTTTTTCTTTGTCGCTCGTGAGACGAAGCTAGAGAAAAGTGTAGGAAAGGTCTTGTGTAAGTATGACCTTTTTGCTTTGAAACGTCCTGCCTCATAGGTAAAAACACGTCAAGTTTCTTTGGATAACAATTTTTTACCAATAACATCACAATAGTTGTTTTCGGACTGTGATAGTGCTGCAAAGAAGAAAATCTGATGTGTGCAAATTTCATTTTGTTCTCAAAAATGTGAAGGATAACGTCGTTGTGCCGTGAAAAAAATTATTGTAAGCCTATAACAAGTGTTTTGGGTTTTTAACGCATTTTAGTTTTTGTGACCTACGTTTAATGGTCACGTGATCGATTTTTTAAACATATTTTCTGAAAAAACTCCCAAATATTTTTCATGAAAGCAAGATGCCGACTATTAAGTAAAACAAAACCACTCTTTTCCTATCAGAGGAGGAAAGGGGGGATTTGCAATAAACTAGTAAGTTGCAAAGGAGATCTTTAATTGCCACTTTTGGTGTTTATATTTTGGTTAAAGTGTTTTCGTTTTCACGTAAGCAAACCACGAGGCAAATTACGCGAGAGCGGTGCAGACATAAAGATCGTAAAACTTAATTTTCTTTGTCCTTAAATCAGGTAAAATTAGATATCTTTTTAGAAAAGTTTATAGGTTGGCTGCGACAGAGAACACATGACAGGTTATTTTCACATTGCTAGCAAACGCAATGAAAAAATTAATGATTGATTTGTTGCCTTCTCTGCGGATTTTTTTGTTCACAGTGACCTTAAACGAGGTGTTATTTATGCAGTTCATTTAAGGCCTGAGCACACGTGTTTCGACATTTTTTCAGATGCCTGAAGTAATTTTGTCGCATATTTCTAAATGCTACAGGTATATCAAGTAGCAAACCGTTTGAAAATCAACTTAACAATTTGAAAAGAATTACCGCACAGGTCAAGTCAAAGTCAGTTTCCGGCATTTGGTTGCCGTAGGAATTCGTTTTCACGGGTTTGGTTCTTTGGAGGAGTACTTCTCCGTACACTGGCCTCGTTTTAGATTATGTCAAACACTCTTAGTCTCGAGGAACGCAAAGAATAGACGCCCTTGCAGAAATATTTTCAGCTTATGTCTGAGTAGGTTAATTGGGCGCTGCCCCGACAACTTAAATCTAGTGTTTGGATTAATCACCCGAAGAGTACAAAAAAGTCTGACACAACCTTTCTTGTAATTCCTGCGACCCGAGGAACAATTTTCCGTTTGTTAGACATTTATTGGTTCCTTCGTAACCGCAAGGGCGTGAACAAAATTGGCAGTTTTTTTCCGCTGAAATATTCACAATTTAAATATAAATTCGTAACGGCAGCTTTTAAAGTTTGAAACAATTCAAACGGTTTAATTAAGGGTTATAAGGTTACTCCATTTCGTTACTCTATTTTCACTTGGAGGAAACCCGTTTTTGGCTGTAACGCACCCAGGTTGAAAGGATCAAAGTAAATCACTTCTTCTTGTTAGATGTTCCAGAAATCCTTCTATTTTCATCCTAAATAGCCCCTCCTCCTTGTTTATAATTTTAATTTATTTTAATTTTAATTTTAATTCATTAATTAATCTATGAGCATTTCATTGCATTCATTCATGACTCATAATGTTTTAATGTGAATATATCATGTGCTTATTTAAGAGCTCGTGACAGGAATCAGTTTCTAACGTACGTGAATATTTTATATATTAGCAAGATAAATTTTATAACTATTATTATTATTATTATTATTATTATTATTATTATTATTATTATTATTATTATTATTATATCTTGCCCGCCAGGATGCAGGTCTACGCTTCCGTTGTGGTGGTGTTGATGGCGGCGGCACAGCTGATTGGAGCGGTGGAGGAGAGAAGATGGCTGCGCTGTTTTGCTCCCTATAACTCCGCTGTCTGTCCCGGGGGCAGGGGCTACGACTGCTACGGGTAAGTATGAACGGGAAAGGAGAGGGAGAGAGAGAGAGAGTTGTGCGTTAGTGCATGTGTGTGTGCGAGTGGGCGGGCTACATGGGGGGCTGGTTTTTTGGGAAAGTAGTCTAAAAACAAAATGGCTAATTCTGATAACCTGGAAACACTGAATTCTGGCGCCGTGGATACAGTAAATTTTGATAAAACTGAGAATGATAAAAACGGATTTCTTGTATCTCTGCATGTGCGTGGTTGAGTATGTGTGGGAGCGCGTGCGTCTGATTGTGTGAATGTGTGATTGTTTGTTTCCCTTTGTGTTAACATGTGTGTAAAAGAAGGAACAGTCTAGAAATTGCGTGTGCACGTGTACAAGGGTTTCTTTTCGTTTTATGCTTAACTGTCACATGTGTGCACGCAATAGAAAGAACAGGCTAAGATTAAAAAACGCAAACAGCAATATTACAATACAGACACAACGAAATGAGCTTTGCTGGATGATCTGCCTTTTTCTTCTCCAGTGTTGCCTGTGATCCGGCACGTTGCAGCTGCTTCGACTCTGCCTCGGCTCAGGCCGCCGCCCCTTACTCCGCTCCTGGTACGTACCCATACAACTGGTACAGCTACTACCGACACGCTAACTACGCATACCCGCCCTACTACTTCAGACGTGGAAGCAAAGGAAAGGGATCGGGTTCTTCAGATTCCAATTACCTGTACCGTCTCTACCTGTGGAACTATCAGAACAGTCAATCCCGCTCTGGATAGAGGGAGCCACAGGTAGCTGATTCTTTTTTTTCTTATCATTTTTTTACTATTGAAATTAGTCTCTATAAATATGGTATTCAGGCTTCATTACCATTGTATAATTATTTGAATAAGAAGATTAGCTTAAAAACTGACACATTTCTATTAAAAAATTGATAGTTCTCTTCTTTGTAATTTACATAAGGAAAAAAAGAAGTATAATATATTTTAGGGTTTTTTTACAGCTTGAAACGGAAAGGATGCTTCTTCATGAGTGAAGAAAAGGATTCACGTTTAAAAAATCTTCGCCCGTTAAGAAAGTGCCAAACTCAGTCAACCGAAGGAATAAGCTGATTGTTCTAATAAGAATATTTTAAAGTTTAACACAAGCCTGTAGGAAGGTTGCAAGGGTTGCCATGACTACGTTGTATACCTCAATTTTAACCTCACGGGCAACAGTGTTAAGGCTTTCAAAATCTGACTGTTTGGGAATATATTTGAAATAAAATTTTACATTTTATTTCGTCATCTTTTTTGTTTATTCAAAGATTGAATCCGCGTTTTCGTGTGTTTATGAAGACAAGGTCACGAATTTATAATAGGTTCCATTTACATTTAATAACATGGCGGATTGCTTTTTACACACTAAGACCGGGGAAGAATGTAACTTTAAAATGCTTATTAGACGGACAATAAACTAAAAAGCTGATATTTCTACGTACTTTCAGTTTTGAAGGTTTTGGTTGATTCAGTTGTTGTAAACTTAAGTTGGGATTATACTGAGATCTCATGCTGATGCTTTGGTTTGAGACAGAGGTCTCTACAAGTTAGCTATACCACGAGTCATTTTGAATGCCCGTAAAAACATTGTTTCGGAGAAGAAGAATGGGCTCATTGCGGTTGTTGAGACGGTGGTTGGACTAGTGCATTGCAACCACATCTGTCACAATCAAACTGTGCCAGCAACAAGGCAATGGGTCATTCGAAACTCCAAAAATACAACTTTAAAAATATTTCTTTTGTTCAATATACAGAAATTTGAAAGAAAAGCATTTATTCTTTATTTTTAATGTGAAAGTTTGAGAATAGTCCCCAAAATATAAATTAATATATAGATTAATAGATAGATAAATAAATAATAAGTCCAATAATTGGTGACACCTTTATTACCGCGTGAAGAAACTGACAGCATTTACAGCACATTGTGTTACATATTAACGAGTACTCTACAATTTACAAGAGATTTCACTCATAGTCATATCACCTTACAAAATGGAGAGAAAAAGAAAAAAGGAACATTTTAATTTACAGCAGTTTTAGCAAGAGCATTTCGTGCAAATATATTTAAATGTGTGCTGGTGTTTTTTAAGAAAAATTTGTTTTTGACATGGTTTTCTTCTATGTTGAGAAGTTTTGCTTTGCTGAATCAAATATTCATATTTATGGTAAATTGTGTTATAAAATCAAGTTTGTAAGAACGTAAATGGTTTTAAGCGATATGGCGGAGGCTGTCAAAGAGTATAAGTAAGGAAAAGTCCGTGGAAAAGCTGCATTAAACAATTACCAAGAAAAGGTATTCAATAGCTCTATAGAAAGTAAGTATCCCTTCCAGTATTTACTATACAAAAAGAAATAAATGTGTTTGCAGAAATGAGAAAAATAACGTTACTCATCATATCCCCTGAGTTTCAGAGACCACACGAAACTTTCCTCTACATTCAACAAGCACTTGTGTTTCCATCCATAAACTCGGAAACTCAGGGTGTAGCACGTGGAGAAGCGTTTGCTTAAATAAAAAAAGAGTGGCTTTAAGTTACAACAAATTCTAAACTAGACAATCACAAGTACAAATTGTTCTGAGGCATTTCCGGCAAACGCTGCGTATCACAGTTGTAAAGGTTTTAAGTTCCTTCAAAAATCTCAGTCACATAAACCATTTCCGCTTTAAGTCATTTTCACTGTGATGGCCAAAGGTTAACAACTGTAAATGCCAACACATTTTAGAACACATTATGGCATCTTTACATTTATATCAAATTATGACAAAGTAAACGAATACATCAATTAACAGCTATGTATCGGTACACTACTTGATGTCTTATACTTTCCATTTTAGCAGTTTATCTTTGATTTAAAACATTTCTTCCTCCGAGAGAAGAATCCTCTCACGATATGACTAGGAAGTCGTCATACTTAAGGCATGTATACACGAACCATCACGCAAAATATGTAAAACAAACAAACAAAAATGCTTTTCACGGGAGCCGTTTTCATGTAGCGCTAATACCAAGCCAAAGCATTCCTTGATAGTGCTTATATATATCACTACAGCAGAAATTAAACTCCGAATTTACAGTTTCTTCATCCCCGGCTTTAGAATACAAAGCTGCTTATAACTACAATGGGGTGGTGTGTTAAGCGGCTCACGGACAAGACAAGCCAGACTCTCAGTTTGTTTCTTTATCTGCGGATATGTCAACTGCTGCAGACCTGAAACAGAAAAGTGCTGCATTGACATCAGGGTCAATTAGATGCCAAAACGGCTTCCTACACTCACGATTCTTTAAAATCCCACTGCTTCTGGCATAACCATTAAAGTTACAAAACAATTCACTGATCATTCTCTTTTCTTCTTTTTTTTTTTTCAAGTAATAAAGACCCTTTCTCACGCTTAATTCCTCGACTTACCGATTGTAAGATATAAAAACAGCTAGACAAAAGTCACTGCCTCATACAGTTTGCAGGCATGGTCTCCCCCTGTCCCATGATATTCCCCCTCACAATCTCCCTCTTTCCTTTGAGTACTACTTCCTCAATCTATCCCTGGTACTGCTGTTACATAATCACTAACCACCTCACTCCCCTCCCCTCCCTCTGCCAAACTAAATTGGCTGCCTCGGACAACCCCTTACCAAAAACGAAAAAGCAAATGTCGAAACTCATTTACGAAATGCCACGTCTCATATGGCACCATCCGTAGGGAGGGAGGAAGTGACGTCACAATGATTGTCACCACCCCCTTGATGTCATCACGGATGTCCACAGTGTGGAATACTTACCTTTTCTTCCTGCCTTGGAAAGTATTGTGGTAGTTATAGAAGTAAGAATTCCACCACGGTAGGTTGTGAAGAGGACCTGGGAAAGCGTTCTGAAGGCAACCACACCTGTCACAGTCACAGCGTAATCTACAATGATTAACGGCACCAATGGCTATAAAAATGTATACTTTTTGAGTCGTCCAGTTGTGTTTATGATAAAATTTATTATGATATAATCTGATGCTGAAAGCGACTTTTAGTTACAAATGTAATGAACCAAAATATTTCTGGACAACAGAACATCTAAACTGCCCTTTATTGAAATATAATTCCACATATCAGAAGCAATACAACATGAATTAAAATTGCAATAAAGTAATTGATATATTCTGTTTACTTCACTAAAATTTTTACTTAACTTTTGGTTGCAACTTATTTAATATCTCATTTAAAAAAATATTTTGACTGTTAAATTGAGTTACCACCTTAAATGACCAAAGAGACAAAATTATGAAAGACCTCACAGATTTAAGCCTACTACAAAGTACATAATAATTCTTAAACTACACCCCATTTCCATAGATTAGATCGACCAACTTTAGATCGACCTAACTCCCTGGGGGTTCACGCTAAATAGCTGTCAGCCGGGCGGACACGAAAGTTAATTACCTCCTTACAGCTTGTAGTAGGCGGGACGGACATTTAAGTCGGATTATCTGAAAGTAATCTAGTGAGACTCCCCGCGGGGATAGATCGATCTAAAATCTATGGGATAGATCCCTAGAGACGGTCATTTCTGCTATACAGCAGTGACAGTTTCCACAAAACCATCTATAATGATATAAGCAATGTCTACTAAACAGTTTTCAAGCTACGAAAGATGACCAAATAGCTTGAGTAGTGCACATTTGGGCACGGCATTTAAGATATCTTATTTACACTTTGAATTTCAAAGATCTACGACAATTTCATTAGGTGTAGACTGGACAATTCTCAAACTCTTTTTAAAGTACATTAAAGCTGGCGTAACCAATGTTTCAGATTTGCCCCAAAATCAACCCGGTTCTACAGTAGTTGCGTTATCATGGCATCTTAACTAGGCTGTGTTCCGCGTTTATTGCGTTTGACTTAACCCTTTGACCCAAGAAGTCCGTTCTAAAAGTGTTGTCCTTAAAGGTCCATGCCAATCGTACCCCAGGACGCCCCAGGAACCGATAACTGTCAACTCTAAATTACCTCGACAGTTTGAAAGAGGTACTGATATTACAATCCATCATTGCCGCCCACTAGGAAAGCCAATTATTTTGAAATTATAAGTTTATTTTGTTTCATAAAAGAAAAAATTGGTAACACCAAACCAAGTGTATTTATCGTTAGATGACTTTTGAATAATTCAAAATTCTTAAACCACTTAAATGATGTTTACTGGACACTTTCAGATGATATAAAGATATTACATGTGGGAGAGAACAGTTGAGAGACTTAAATTTTGTCTTTTTACCCATTCCAGTAGGCAGGAGGTCAGAAGAACTGTCCCTTTGATAGGAAAAAGTATGTCCTGAATCACAATGTGATCTGTTTTATGCCATTTGAGTAACCTAATGGGGTAAAAAACGTCCACTTTTCCAGAACCCCTCCCCACCCCCATCCTCTGAAACTGCTGACTTCACGCCTGTTGCTGAAAGAAATTTCCATTTTATTTAGAACTTACAATAGCTTTCACTGATGGCTGTGTCTTACAGCTATTCCGCTGGCATGATGACTGGGGTGAAAGCGATGGTAGATTTACCGAGAGTTAAAGTTGTTAAAGTTGTTTCTGTTGCCGTTTCTCATATTCTTTCAGATTTTTTTCTGACTGTATGATACTACATATGTGCCAAAAGCTGACATGTCAGCCGCCAGCAAAGCGCCTTGAGTCACGGTGAGCGGCAAAGGAGACACACGCGACTTGGGAAGGCGTTTCTGGCTCAATAAACAGATGTCGTATCCTGTTCCCACTTAATTATATTGCCGCTTAAAGCATGTCTTAATGGTAGTTGACATAGGTTTTGTGCGGGTGAGGGGTGTGGGAGGGGGGCTAGTAGTAAGGTCTTCAGAAACAAATTAAATGGGCAGGAAAATCATTTAGAGCAAATCTCGGGCCAAGTGTTCACATAAGGGATAGGAAATGCCATGCGTCCCGTATGCCATCATAGAATTCGGAAATACTATATCAATCTGGATGACATTTTATATTTCCGTGATTGCAATCTGAGTCACCTCTCCTAGTGGACATTCGAAAAACCACTGGTAGACTGAGATCTATTATCTTTCAGCTATTTTAGTCGAATTTTAGAGAAAGTTTTCATCAGTGCTCGTATTTTGTACATAAAAAAACAACACTTCGACCTAGCACATAAATAGACGTTAAGTGACTTCGCTGTCGTTGTTGATTACGGGCGTCGTACAATATTTTTAATAGATCAGTTTAGTAGCTCTGATAGATGTACTTTAACAGCCAATGATATTTCAAAACACAGGGTACATAAGAACCTCTTTAAAACTAAACTAGACCTGAAAAAGACATTTGCATAGTTTTAAAAAGTTAAATAAGGAATAAAGAATTAATAACATCTTATGCACATGTAATTCTCTAACTGTACCATAATTATTGCAAGCCGAAGGCAGATCCGATGATATTAATAGAACAACTTACCTCCTGTTACTAAAAAAATTAACAGTAAAACTGCAGCATAGACGAACATTGCTGATGTTGTTTTTACCCATAAAGGCTTCTGAGCATTCCAACACCTTGAAAGGGATACTGTAAAAGGCCTCCATCTTTGGCTCAGCGTGGAAGGGAAAAGGTAACGTGGCTGAATCCAGAAGTGTTCACAGAGGAGATATACCCCTTACCCCTTAGTTGCCGAGATAACCACTTCTCTCCCCACCCCAAACTGCAATCAATGTGCCCTACATATTGCCGTAAAGTTATTCTTTTCTACTTATTTTATCCTGCTTAACCAATTCTGGGATCCGTCTTTCTGCACATCTGTATAACACAGTCACATCTGTACAACACTGTCTGCCAAAGCAATGACTGTTATACAGACGTGCATATTTTCTTGGGGTAGTGTAATCCAGGAGGTTCGACTCCCAAGAGAAAAAAACATGCTGCGTTTGTTGGTAAGCTTTACATTTTGTCTCTTCCACTGAGCTTACTAATGCCCCAATTCGACCGATTTGAGTGTGCATCCAAAGGTTCACCAAATCGGGGCATTAGAAAGCTCAGCACCTGTGCTACATGGGTGCATTTGAGATGAAGCAAAAAAAAGTATTCTCTATTCACATATCACTTAAAGTGTACTGAGTGTGAAAGAAACAAAATGTCAGGGTCATCAATAAGCTTGACGTACTTCCGTCTTGGGAGTCCAACCCTCTTGATGACGATAAATAGAATGAGAATAGTTGCACATGAAAACTCTCCGTGCCTCTGTCACTCTAAAACCAACACATATCACTATCTTGTCCTCATTTATCCTCATTTATATTCATCCAAAGTAATTAAAATCAAACAGAAACAAAAAGCCTTCAAAGCCAATTATCTTTTTCAAAACAAGAAATTCCATGGTGCCCGTTGGTTCCTCAGTCTACCTAATCTGTGTTGGATCACACTGCAAAGCGCATACGTGCAAAAAGAAATTAAAAAAAGAAAACTACTCCAAAATCCATTTAAATGGGTATTGACTGTAGCCTTGCAGGAGGGCAAGCATAACTTTTTTCACTAAAAATATAATCATGTATCCGTCTTAGTCATGACTTTGCATGACTTCTGTAATTAAAATTTTAATTGACATCGCCAAATGGCCTTTGAGGACCGCTTAACGACCAGATTAGAAAGAAATTTGGAATTTGTTCAAATGAATTCAGATTGTTCTTGAAGTTGTGTAATAAACAGAAAGTAAACCAGCGTATTCACTGTAAACACAAAATATTTTGAAGCACCACTTTTGAGAGGGTAACTCGAGATTTTGGGGCTTATGTTTAAGCTGATTTTGGTTGCTATCGTCGAGCATACTTAGTACGATTAGATTCTAGATGTTAGGCTCATAATTGGGAGCTAAACCTGAGAGAATTTATAAAAGTAATATTTGATATTTTGCTCCAAAAGCAATACTTTAAAACAAACGAAGCAGAATATACTACTAGAAAATTACCCAAAACAATCGTAGAGTTCGTTACATCTGTACACATGGCGCGGACAGTGACATCTCATCCAGTAGCGCTGATCATACCAGTACGGGTGCAGCCCCTGGGTCTCCACGGGCCCCACGTGCCAAGACAGGATCACTCCGAGGAAAACTAGGACAAATGCAGCTAGGTGGCAGTAACAGCGTCTCTCCATACCCGAGTCTTCTCACTATGCAGATAATATCGAAAGAACCAGGCAATTATCGTTTCAGTTTTATCTTGGCAGGCATATAAAGTCTCAGTTACGGCTTCTGTGTTCTGTATATTTTGAACCGCCTGTATTGTGTTAAAAGGTCCGCGTGGAGATATGTTTAACCTAATCTAGAATGTAACGCTTTGTAACCGTGTCTGACTTTAAACACTTTGATGTAAACTTTCATGTGTATTTAATTAGATTTCAGTTAGATCATATTCTAGTATTTCACCTGGCGTTACAATCACTGCCACATGGGGAACGAATGCCAGTTACATATTAAATTTAAAGACCACATCGTCTGATTAACGTAGTCTGGTTTATCCATATTTTCCAAATAGTACCTTCTATGTTCCTGGGGACTTTTAAGGTGTTTTGAAATGATAAAATTACTTCCAGTGTTATGGAGTTCTTTTTTTTCTTGAATTTGGGAAGTGAAATAGAAAACGTGTAGATACCAATAAATTGACAAAAGTTACTTTAAGGAATGATATTAAACAATATCGTTTTGGACTGTATTTTAAAATGTGGAAGTATGAAGACATCGGCAAATTGTGGAATACCACATAAGAGAATTTTTACTGTCACTCATTCCATTATCTGCCTCTTTTACACTTTAAGACTAAACGAAGGGTTATTTATAGCCAAGGCTGCGTGAAAGCGTTGTGAACAGATCTTTTGGTATTCGGACGCCTTTGCTTTGAAAATACCACATTTGGCAGCGGCGTAACCAAAGTTTTGTAAGACAAATTTTCACATTAAAGGTTTTCGTTTTCACTATTCTGGTCGTAAAAAAAGCATTACAAGTATTTTCTATGTAATCAGACCTTCCTAACAAACGGTTCGTATTCTTAGGTTTACAGAAATGGCTCATGTGACCGCTGGATTGATGAAAAAATATTACGTATACTTGAATTTATGTTTAGAAGAAGGCACTCAAAAGGTTTGCATAAATTCAATCAAAACCTGAATTATTGTTATTACAATAGGTGACACCGAATCAACGTCATGAAATTGCATTTATCATACTATAATTCACAGTAGAAAGGCATTTTATATGAAGTACGCAAGCGATAGATTTTGAAGAACACCATGTAGAGATTATATTATTTCTAGATATTGAGAGTAGCAACCGATTGCAAAATGTTCATTTACAGTTATAAAAATAAACACACACAGATCGATAACTTACTGTACGTGATGTAATATAAATGTCAAAGTTTACGTGATTTCGTACAAATTGGAAAAGGACACGTACCTTAGAATTCGCCGTCAAACAGAAGTTGTTCCTTTGCATGAATTTTATAAATGAGAAACGCAGAAAACGAGCGATTAAGTAGCTCGACCCCGCCGGGTCATTTCACTCACGTAGAGAACCCCTGAAATGCTATGGCTTTTTTAAAGAACGCGCTTGCCAGAAAGCTCCATGTCTTTGTTTTATTTTCAAATCATCAATTTGAGAAACCCACAAGGGTGAGCAATGATGAAGATAAAATCATTCCGAGTATTTTGGCAGGTATATCACCTTGTCCAAGTTACCTTTGCTGTACATCATCATTTGCCAATATTAATTCAACAGTTGAAGAAGTATGCACATCTTAAATTTTAATCAGTTGAAACAGCTATTTTTTATGCTATTAAGCCTTACTGCAACCGAACTTCGTGCGGATATTTTGATTATTTTCCCTCCCTTTGAAAGTTCAAACAGTTTACGTTGTCGTTCACAATAAATGACGTATGTAATCTCATCTTGCTGTAAGGAAATTAACGATTTAATTTCCCCGATACGCATATCAGTTGCAAAGTCGCGCAAGAACGCGCCAATGAAAGCGCTAACGAAACCCAGGCTGTGGAAAGCACCTTTTTATCTATAGCCGTTTTAAAACTAAAGCAAAAAAAGTGGATAATTTGGTTGCAGTTGTCGCAATGATAAAATGCCCACCCTTTGTTAACTCTGTGATAACATAGCGACTGAGCCCAGCGAAAACGTCCGTCTCCTGCAGACAGTCTAACTACGGTTTTAGTTATAACGGAGCTGGATGCGCCTGAACACAAAAAGTTAATGGAATGAATGGCGTCATGCCTCAGACGCAACTCTACCATTTCGTTCCACTTACGTTATGCCAGTGGATTAGATTAGTTTTGTGGCGCTGGGAAAACACAACCCGTGTGCGCAGCTGCAAAAACTTACATCGCCCCAGTGAAGTCTGTAGCCAGTCTTTACAGTTATCACAGGACCGGAAGACCACCGAGAGTGACGGCTTCGTTAATCTTCGTGACACTGGGAGTATTTTATCCTCTGAACCATTACACATGACAGTTGTTGTAATTTATTTGTTTGCACAACAGTAAAATGCACGAGAGAAGCGCCATGTTTGTCTTTGACCTTTGAACTTTGACGGCGCCCATACTCGATACTAGGGCAACAGTTAATGTGGAACCATGCGTTTACACATATCTCCGTTGTGCTTGAATATTGGAGCCAACAGAAGGCTAATAGGTCGTAATCATACAATTAATCTAACATCGGCAAACTAATATCTCCAGGCTATCGGCACAAAAAAAATAAAATAAAATAAAATAAAATAGGAAAAATATTCCCTTGGCAAAAACTATATTGAAAATAAGAATGGTTAGCCAGTGCGAATATATAACTCTCAATAACCGGAAAATTGTGATTGTAAAAAATAAAAATAAAAAAGCAGTTATCTGAGATAATTCGCTGAGGTACAGGATCTGGTTTCCACTGATTTGTACAAGTAAACGCCGTCTGAGATTCTCAACCATTTCTGTCACGCTGACCCTGTTCTATGAATCTAATAAGAGCAGAATCTACGGACCCTCAGTTCCTTAATTAGCACCTGTATCTGTTAGATGGGTCTTTTACAGACAATAAACGTAAAGTAAATTAAATGGCAAAGTCTCCATTCAAACCTTTAACGTTGAACTGGTCACTGTATTTCAACATGTGAAATAGTTTTCTTCCAAGACGGTGGCCTTAAGTTAATCGCTTCTTAAGCGGTTAACTGTTTTTTAATCTAATTTTAATACATTTTTTTTATATTTTTCTACCTATAAGGCATGACGCGTAGACCATTCATCAAAGGGTCTGGTTTATTAAGGGGTCGAAATGCGTTGCCTCCTGCGTAAAAGATCACGTTAAGCCACATTAAAAACGACTTACTTTTCTGTCAAATTATAAAGTTATTTACAGTTCAGGAGTTGACAGAGGCTTCGTGATCAAAGGAAAGTCCAACATATCGTGCACTTTCAAAATTAGTATGGTGTGTACATAGCGACATCTAGCGGGAGAGTTGAAAAACGCACAGTGCAATACAAGAGTTCTATGGGGTTGAACTTCTAAGACGAAAAACTGTGTAGGTAGTTAACGCTCCAGAGGCTTGGTATTTGCTCTTTATTCGTATATAAAGTGAAGAATATTAAAGTAAATATGGAAGTACGTTACTTTTTTCTTACCGGTGTTCATTTTTCTCCTCCTCTGTAAAACCAGAACTTAAGGCTGAAAACAGGGGTCGGTGATAGGAACGTGGCTATCTTCTTATATAATAATATTATATTTCCTTAGCCCCCCCCCCCCCCCCCCCCCTCCGTCTACATCCTGAAGAGAGACCGTTCTACTCACCCGTAGCAGTAATAGCTCCTACACTGCTTAGGGGGACAGTGACCACACAGGATCCAGCGGCGAACCTCGTAATACTGGGAGCTCAGTTGAGGGGAGGAGCGAACCAGAGGCGGCGAATGCACCAAAAGTACCAGTGTAACCGTGGCCAGGAAACACAGGACGGTCTTCGTCCGCGCGTTCATCTTGGCTGATAAGGTAAAAAAAAAAGATAAGATGATAATTTTCTCGTAAGAACCAGTGACGGAATAATAGATAAAGCTATTAACTTGGTAAAACGAACGGTTAAAAACAGATCGGATGATTTCACTTAAAATTGAGTTTCGCAAAAATAAGTTTAACGAGAAAGTGAAATATAGAAAAGCAAATAATTTGACGGTACAATTGCTCGTAAATACAAGTTCTAAAAGGCAAATTAAGAGCGTGAGAAAAAACGCAGTTAATTAGTTGCGGGAAAATGTTTCCTTGTATATTTTTTACCTAAATTCAAATAAAATACGAAATATAAATGCGTTTTTGTTTTTGAAAGCAGAGAAAGCGCTTTCTCTCACAATCGGTATCCCCGAAAGGCAAAGTCTTATCACTATGCGGAATAATGGGTATCATTTAAGTGTAGTCCTTGCGATGAAAAAAAATGTGAGATTTAAATTAAAAGACACTGTTGAAATTCTTTATCAGAATATTGCAATTTGCTTTAGAATTTACCTGAACCCTGCGTGCGAGAACTGTGTCTATCTTCACTCACTCCCCGGAAACGCTACCCTCCGTGCAGAGAACGCCACGGAATGGCTGGACTAGCGGGTCTAAGCATTTACCTCTCTTAGCTGGGGGAAAAGCCAGCGTGGAAGAATTACTTGAACAATGGCAGTGTCTGAAAGACATTATGGTGATAAACAGCAAAGGTGAACGTGATGAATTAGCACATGGGGCGCACTTATTGAAGACAACCTTTTGAGAATTTCAGGGCAATGATTCTGTTTCTAACGGCTGTCTATGTAAAATCTACGGGCATGTCGGGCGAAGTTATGTCACCATCAAAAGAAGACCACTGATTAAAAAGGGGAAACGTGTATTTTCCTAATTTTCGCTTAAAGAGCTAGTTTTTGCGTTTGTATCTTTTTGCTGAATGTTGTTAAACGCAGATTGTGGATTGGTCGAAATAGACATTGCAAAAAAAAAAAATATTTTCGATTCATTATTTTCTTATTCTTAATTAAAACTCCGAAATATCGTATGATAATTGAAAAAAGAAAAATTAGAAAAATTCGAACATTTGGAGTAAAATCACCGAAGTAGCGCCAAGTTTTCTCTTGACTGCTGAGTTCTTCCTTCTGTAACTAATTCTAAATATACACAGTGTATATTAAATTTAAATGATACGTGTTCTTGTTTATCATCCTGAATTACAAAGAGTAGTTCTTTTCTCATATCAAACCCCCTGTAGTTTTTGAATATACGCTTCGAGAATTTGCTCAAATTTCCCCTTTGAACACAGGGTAAGTGGTCTGGAGTTTGCTTACACAGTTTTCCTATTTTCAAGATCACTTGAAGCCAAAGCTTGGTTGCCAAACAGAACAGATCCAACGGTTCCTTCACGAACCCCATTCTGCGACGAGATAATCAAAACGCGTCAAGGGACCAAATATGTTTTGTTGTGTTCATTTTTTGTTTTGGTTTTATGCTAATTTTTTACAGGTGGAAACTGCTGTAACACCTGTAATTTCAACTATTATTATAACTTTGTTATAGTTTAGATTACATGTCCCGCTTAAAAAATAGTAACATCAAAGACGGGGCTCACGTTCTATTACCCGTTATTCTGGCGTATATCCCGAGGACGGTGAAATGGATCGAGGAAAGTTCTGTAGTGAAATGAAAATCGGTGTTCGATTTAACAAACTGTTTATTCGCATATATATTGGGCAATTCATACAACATAGTGATACATATACTGGGAGATAAATTTAACCACACTGGTGAATACATCAGTCCCTTAAACGTTGTGTGACACTGTGACGTATACTATTATGATTAGATCTTTTCAATGGGGAAAATTGTGGACTTTACAGTTACATAATTTTACAAAATTTAAAAAATATATATTTCAGTGTAGCATGTGTGATGTTTTTTCTGTATAAAATAAAAATATAAGGTCCCCTACAAGGTACCACTTAATTCGAATGTACTAATTAAATATATATATATTTTAAGAAATACAGAGTCTGTAAAATTCAAATATTTTCCCAGATTCAATACCGTTAACGAAGTGTCTTAATACTAGACAGGGACTCAAAAAAAAAAAAAAATCCACCGCACTTTCACTGACAATTCTAATATTAATCAGGGTGTAATAAACCAGAGGGCGATGAATTTGGCAATCTTAAAACTTGCGAGTTTCGGAGAGGACTGAACATATATGTATGACATAGGAAGATTCTGATTTGAAGAAGAAAACAAAGGTTTGCGAAAATGATATGAAACATAAACGCAATAACGCTCTTTAAGTGTATTATAAACTGTTCCTAACGTGATAAGGACAATAAACATGTGTTGCTCTTAAAACTCGGAACATTATTCCTATTGGACTGAAGGGAAAAACTAAAAGATTATAATGTAAAAGATTATAATGTGAATAAAAAAAATTAACTATCATACACACAGACCTAGCTACAACTTATCCGCGGCTAAGACTGCATTCCCACAGATTTTTAGATCGATCTATCCCCCTGGGGAGTCTCACTAGACTGCTGTCAGCCTAGCTGGCTTAAATGTCTGTCCCGCCTACTTAAAGCTGTAAGGCAGTAATTAACTTTCGTGCGCGCTCGGCTGACAGCAATTTCGCGTGAACCCCCAGGGAGTTAGGTCGATCCAGATGGATCGATCTAAATCTGTGGAAACCCAGTCTATGACTATCTAATCCTAGCTTAATTCCATATACAAAAATAGCACCTTTTGCGTAAAACAAGATATTTACAACCACAAATGTACATTTTCGGAATGAGCTCGGGAAAACGAGACACCTATAACAAAAGCTGCGGAATGTTCGCAAAGACATACAGGGCAGACGTCCACAGGCAAGGTGTGATATGAACGCTAAAAACATTACATCTGGGATGAAGAGAGCTGTACCTGAGTTAATTGTGCAAGATAAATTTTATTAAAAGTCAGTGGCAAATGCACGGAATGAATTCCCGTCCGGCACTAAATATGAGATCGTCACTGATTGGTAGCCTGGCCTGGGAGGCGTTGGTGTATTGATAGAATGTCCACTAATGTCTGGCATGGGAATTTTCTCTGCGGAACTTGTGGCGTCGCCTAACAACGTTGTCCCGTATGTCGTATAATGAGGGCCGCCGTTGAGAAGTTCATCTTCGCTGTTTTCGCCATCGGAATACTTGTCGTCTGCCCAAAAGGTGCGCACGCGGTCCGCGTGACAATATCGTGACATGAACATTAAGGCCCACGTTAGCGCACAGATGCCAAGCTTGAAAACAAAAAACAAACATAATGCTTATCTAACTTAAATTTCTAAAATAATAAAATATTTTTAAAGGCTTGTATAGGCCTTTCTTTATTATTCTTATTGTGCCCATTACAAATTAATTTCAAAGGTTTAATAGGCAATTAAAAAAGACAACGATGACCGTTATTTTTAACAAACCAGTATACTACACACGCATTTCAGCCATATCTTGATCATAAAAAAGATTTCATTAATCGCATTAAGTGATAATTCATTTCAGTGAAGATAAAACGAAGTTTTCGACTGTCTTCATTTTAAATGAAACGAGTGAAATCTAACACTGCCTACCTGTACACAAATGAGCACAGTACAGAATGAGTACGTGGTGGATAGGTAACTGAACAACTGAGGTCGGATCACAGTGGCACAACCCTGAAAGAAGAAGAAAAAACTTGCACCATCAACAACGGGAAAAGTCATATTAATGCGGAGGAAGTTATCCATATATTTGACCAAAGAAGTTTTACGTTTAAATTAAAAACATCCCGTAGAATTCTAGTCAAGCATCGATACAAAGTTTGTTTGTTTGTTTGTTTGTTTGTTTGTTTTCAGTATAAATTGTCCATTTTGTTACCACCAACAACGCTATGCTTTAACTAACGTTACAAGCTCTATTGTCTACCACGTTTTCAATTTATTGCTTACGTTCTTTATCGAATGATAGTTGGCCTAGTTATTGTTTTAGCACGAAAATCGCATTCATTGGTCACTAACCTGTTTATAGTATGGCTCTTGTTGTATCGTGTCCCACTGACTAAAAGAGGTCGCCAGACATGACTTTGGGACGTCCGCCCCTAACCTCTTCCAGTCACTTGAATTGTAAATTCCGCAGCAGAGAAACTGGAAAGAATGTGTTGATTTGTTGCGTTAAACAAGTGCTAATATCACTTATATATATAAAATAATTTGCTAATTTGAAAATACGGTGAAATGAGTTTTTATATATTGCTCCTTGTATAATGATGGTGAAATGCGAGTCGTTTCTTCTACAAAGTAATGGGGAATGGGCTACGGTTCCTAGCGGACGTCCATTCCTGTCACGCAGGCCGTGATGTGCTGAGTTCAGAAAATAAAAACAATTGCAGCCATTGTGTTAGGAGCGACAGATACTCACCTGGGTCTGCACCGTGTTCCAAACTTTCATGTCGTCTTTGTATTCCGAATCAATGCTATAGAACATAGAGGTTTTCATACCCTTCAGCATGAGAGCATTTGTCTGAAATAAGGAAATAACAATTTTAAACAGCCGTTTTAAATAGATAACGGTCACGTATCGATATAACGAAAGCGCTGTGAATTTCAAAACAAAAGGAGTATTAAAACAAATGATTAAAACAAATGTTCGAATATGTCAATCTCACGTGCGAGAAATTGAATGTCCCTTTCCTCCAGTGCGGAAGACAAAAATCTTTCTAAAACTTTCCCTTTCCCCTCTGTCCTCTGAATTAAATAACACACTCATCCCATACAAATGCTTATATTTTTTTCTATAGTGTTTCTTGGCCGATACCTACCCCGGCTTTATCCTTAAGTAAATGTGAACTCATGCACGACACGATGACAAGTACTACCAAAAAGCCGGAAAATATGACAAACATCTGAAAAAAAAAAGCATCAAGCATTAAGAAAGGAGAGAAAAATGGAGGTTGCGGCATAATTTGATCACAAAAAAAAAAAAAGAAAAAAAAAATGATCACATAACCAAAAGAGTAGGCCTATAAATCGATGGCAATGATTTTAAGAACACACAGAGCAGAACTGATAGTAATTTTTTTTTAGTCTGCTCTTTCAGCCGATGCTTTGGTTGTCAACAACTTGACATGATAAAACTCGCGACTTTTTTCTTATTAGGGGTCTCTGTAATTTTTCTCCCAATATCATATATATTATTTTTTATTTATCATTACCATTGCAGACACTGATAAACGTTTCTCCATTGGTTTTCGCATGCAGATGGCCACAATCACTGTAGGGGGTAATAGACCAATCGGCATCCAGAAGGTCAGCGCGGGAATTCTCTGGAAGATGCCGCTGGTGATGTCCATGAAAAGCTCATCATCATTATCCGAAACGTCATTCACTAGCATAATCAAGGCCGTCATACAAGCGGCTATCTGCAACAAATAAAAAAAAAATCCACATATGAAGAAGAGATAAAAAAGAGTATAAATGTACCTGATATTTTAACACATAACATACTTTTTATGGCCTATCCAGTAGGCCTATTTGTTACGTTGTTCTTCACAATTTATAAAGCCCCACGTTGATCAGTATGATAACGCGTGATAGAAAATGTCTTTTGAGATTCAGATTTCAATGAGTGAAGTTGATATTTCCTCCAGGTGCGCCTTGTTGCATTTTCTATACATCAAATACGAAAATTTTTCAGTCAACGTCGGCATCATTGCCATAATCAATGACATCTGTAGATTAGATAGTCATCGTTACAGATGTGAACACATCATGGCTACACCACCTGCATATATTTACTGCGCTGGCGAACACCTGACGAATTCTCTTAAAGTGGACGGAAAAAGGACTCGGTTTATCAGAGCGACGCCGAAGATAACATCTTGAGATCGGTGGCGTCGCGAAGCACGCGGCTGAATCTTCCTCACCTGTATAATTAAGCCATTTTGTTTCTTTCTATTGTATAATGGCAATTAAAATTTGGCTGTCTGTGAATATTATGTCATTTACATGCATTTACACAGTTTTTATATTCTTATGGCGGAGAAACAATTTAATTTGGTGATCAAACAAATTTAAAATTGAATATTTTAAAATAATGTTAACTTACATTTTAATATGCACAGAGGTCAAATTTCTCGAATCGAAAAAAAAAAACAATATAAAACGCACTGTTAATCTGACAGGCTTTGGATAAAAGTAGAAATTGTAACTATAATGTATAACAATATTTTTTTTTTTTTTTTTTTTTTTTTTTGCAAACATCCAAACGACTTCATGCTTTTCACTTCATATGCTTAGCTGGTGTCTCTTATTCCTTTCAGTCTAAGAATAATAAATATTGTGCACATGAATTAAAGACTGGAAGAATGCGCTGTACGTACATGTATAATGACAAACTTTGGCTTCATTC